AAGCTTCGCTGTATAATAAAAAGCCTCATGATTTAAACATGAAAAGTGTCGTAGGCGTTGTACAGTGTCTGTCAAAAATAAGTCGACAGCAATTTCAGGGGCAAATCTGATATTTAATCGATGGGACCGAAACGTAAGTAATTTTATTAAATCTACCATACCCAATAACGTAGTCACTGGGATAATAGGATTTCAAATGGCATCCATTTAAATATAATCCAATGCGTAGCCTCGATATCCCATAGCTGGAAGAACTTTTTAAATTAAACCTTAAAGGCTACTCCACAACGTCGCTTATTACCTCGAGTCATATTTCCATCGATTTCCCAATTGGCCTATGACGAGCATCGCGATGACTTTACTACCCTGAAATATTTTATTCTGGACCAATGCCAGATCTTCCTCCAATGCTATTCACTCGGGAGTCGTTGATTTGTATATTAATATATTTTTATTTATAGAAGCAGTCCCCTAGATTAATTTCACTTTTAATAAACGACTCGAGTCTTTTCTAAGCGACAGTTTCGTTATCGCGTATACAGTGAATATAATAAAAATCAATTCAAGATAATTTTCAAAATTATTCAACAGCACAGTCCAACGATTAAAAAAAAGCGCTGTATTAAGTAATAAAAAGTGTATGAATTTTGAGTGAAAAAAATATATATATTAACCCCCAGCAAGTGTTATCGCTACTATCATTTTATTATTGTGCACGTGGTACATCTGACGTTTTAAACGTCACTGCTCGAAATTGGAATCAATAGATTCGGTTCGTAAACTGTCCAATAAAAGTCGTCTGTCGATATATGCGATTTGGATCTATCGACGAAAGGGGTGAAAGGAGGGATTGGCTGGGAGACGTCGTAAAAGTCACTTTCGACACATGTGTCACATATGCTTATATTCACAGCGGATACAGGAGTCTCATTGGTTTTCAAAGGTGACTGGAGAGAGCTTTGCTTTGTGGAATCAAGATGGGCTGCCAAAGTGCAAAAAAAAAAGAAAAAGTATTATAATAAAAGTTTCAAGTGGACGTCTTGAGTCGGTCAAGTGGCGCGCAGCAATATTCCGAGGAAAGTCTATATGTCGCCATAGGGACGTTGCCGAAAGTATAGAAAAACGAATTGTCGCGTCTCCGTGTATCGATATAGCTGCACACAGACAGAGGAAGGAATTCTGAAGTAAATTTAAGAATAAATGCATCTTCGATTTCGTGGAATCGACCGAAGCTTTCTCAATTTTTTTTTTTTTCTTTCGTCTTTAACGCCCAGTTTCTCCTCCTCCGATCCTTCACTTATCTCGCGTCTTTTTCTATCTCTCAAAGTATACTCCGACGCTTTGTATTCTTATGTAGAGACTTTCCCAGAAACTTTTGTCGTACCCTGTACTACTTCTAGGGTCCCTATAGCGCTACTATTATACATAGGTATATACCACCCAGTATAAATCAATGATTCAATACTGTGAATGGCTGCCGATACGATTATACTTACCCTATAAAATTCAAATTGTTCCATCCTCGAGATTTGGATATAAATTTTTTTTTTTTTTTTTTTAACAAAATTCATCTCGAGACATTCAATCTTTTTTTAATACAAATTTTGACAACTTTCACACTGGCGTTAAAAAATTTTTTTTGGTCACGGAATACACTTCCGGTAGTCTTTGGTCCATTTTTCCTTTAGGATTCAATGGTCAATCGTGTTACGTTACGCAATAATGTCAATGGCTACAATTGTGTACAGTCCACATGGAAACGGAGTCAAAGGCAGAAATTGGCGTCGGAGTGAACTCGGCTGTGTTCGACGCATCCCTCAGGGACCATTCCTGAACCTTCTATCTTACCGCGTAATCAGTCACAGCCTCCCACAGGACACATTAACCTGATAAATTCTAGTTTGGATTTAACATTCGTTAAGTGAAATAAGACTGGTATCGAAAAGATTTATTAAAATTTTTGAAGCCCCACCCACACTTTAGACGTGGGTACTCTTTAATATCGTATTACTAACAACGTAATTTGACATTTTGTTATCGCGAATCTATACCATTAGGGTGAATCGAGTATTTCGTGAGAGCGACTATAGCGTGAAGTTATAAAATCGTTGAGGACTCCCCTTTAAGTCCGAGATAGGTAACCGAAAGAGAATCCCTCGTCAGAGAAGCGAGACGGTTGGGCGTGATACCAGGGGTCCCTATGTGATTTCGCAATGACCAAAATAATAGCACGAGTCACGAGTAACGGAAATTAAGATTATTTGGTCAGAATTTCAATTTCCGCTCAGGAACTCCCACGTAGACAGTTTGATGAACCACGTAATACCCTTTGCAGAGAGAGACTCGAGAAAAAAAATTCCCCACACATTTAGCATTGATTTCAGACTTTCATTTGTTGGAATTTTGAAAAAAAAAATATTCGAATGAATATCCACATATGATACAGTATGTATCTACGCGTTTACATTATATACATATATAACACGTTGGAACGCATAACGAATCAAGTCCGAGAATGTTCACCCTATACGTGTAATGCATGTAAATGGCATACGTGAAAAAGAATTCGCGTACATTGCGATAGGAACTTTATGATTATCTCATACGTGTATATATACATATACAGATATGGAATTTTTAATGGAAAAATCCATGTAAAGTACAAAGTGCTACGACGGATCGTATATGGACGTAGAACTATCGTCCCTTCGTAATCGCCTTAATGTTTTCAACGCGCGGGACAATTTAAATCGCAAAGGGAAGGAAAAAAAAATTTTTATTTTCAGATGAATTCATGAATAATTTAAAAAAAGGTCGTTGAACCGATTCGTTCAATTTTACGACTGTCGTCCGAGGGCAAATTTTTAAGCTCCAATGTGGATTCGCCTTTATTGTTCCTTTCTCTACTTTACCTACTGTCCGTCTAATGTATGCGAATTGGTACGACATCGAATAAGGCCGTGCTTTTGGGCTAGAATTTATCCACCTCCATGAATTTACGAGGGTTTAACCCCTCAAATCTTGCGAACCTTCCTGCCGCGGGAGATTTGAATTCTCTGAGAGCCTCAGGGGCTGTTTTACCTACGGAACGGATTCCGGGTAAAAAGTGATACCCGACGATGACCGGTGGTTCGTCTTACTTGACGCAGACGGATCGTTACTGGACGCCATTTTGAAACTTGACCTACACTCCGATTTACGAAGGAACCATCTCTTCACTTATCTTTTTTTTTCGTACAGGCTATACATAAACCTTCGGGGCATTAGGAACCTATAGATAAAAGGGATAGGATGAAAAATTCACCCATTTTCGTTCTTTCCTTTTCTTCTGCTTTCTTTTTTTTCTACCTTTTTTTTCCATCCCCTATGAATTTCCTCCCACCTTCGACAAACTTCGTTACTCAACGTCGTTTTCGAGTCTTTACAAAACTTTTCTCAATCGTGTGGTACGACCGTGAAAGCTCCGGATTAATTAAAGTCCAAAAACGAAGTCTGGTTCCTTTGCTAATTTTCCGGCTCGTTTCGTCAAATCGTTTGTACGACGAACACTGGTATCTGTCCTTTTCATCTAAGACGTTGATTAACGCATTATTTCGTGAAGATTAATTAAAACAAAAAATGTATAAGATACCTCCTTAGGTCTTGTATTCAATATTTACCGAGTGGACTGTACGAATAATAATAAGAATAAAAATCAAATAATTGCGTATGCAATTTAAGTAATAAAATGAAAGTCAAAATTAACCTGCGTTACGTTTCAATTTTTCGGAAAGACCGTGAGACAGTGAAAAAAAACATAAGTCTCGTGAAATTTCGTAATCGACTGTACTTAAGAACAAATCGTTACTACGTATAACGGGTGAAAAATAAATGTCTCCCTATCAGCCTGTTACTGCGTATACAGTGTGGCTGGATTTAAAAAATAAAAAATAATTTCTCCCTATCGGTTGTTGGATATTTCTTTTTTTTCCCACCATTCCAAAGCCCATATAATAAATCCTACCTCGAAGGTTTAAGCGGATAAGCTTTTTTTGACGTTAATCGACATATCCATAAGTGGGATTATCGTTTCACTTTTGGATTTCAATATTTGCCGTTTTTCCCATATAGATTACGCACGAGTGAGACGCGAAAGTGAAGTTTTATAATAACGAGGTAAATCCAGTATATCGCGTTCCAGCGATACATGCTAAGTGAAATTAAAGGATTTATCCCCGTCTGGAATTAATTTTCCAGGTTTATAATCTGCGTTCAGCTTAACGGGGGAAAGTCAATTCGGCGGCTTGGAATTCTCACGGTAGAATTATAAGATTTTTAAATTTGAAATCGATAGGTGCTCAAGGCATAATAAACCCCTTATAATCATTATACCACGTGATAATAGTACAATGATCATTTAACCATTCATTTTCACGAACATTGTCAGCCCCCATCATCATTATCCCCCAACAATACGTACGAGTACATTGTACGATAATAATGGTAAACTAAAAATCACGATATAAAAAAAAAATTATCTCTCAATTAAATTTTGAACCCACGACCCATTCACCTATCTGTCTCCACCTAACACGATTTTATACGACGTAATTTAAATTTCGCTATCAGCGTCCAATCACGAGTCAACGTTGAAAATAATGATTTTGTCGCATACAGCACAGAGACATATTTTGGATGACTGCGAATTGCTAAATTATCAATGGCGCTTTAACCCGGAGCCATTTAAACAGTGAATAATTATTTATCATCCAGATAAACGTCACCCATTGGCTGACGTCATCCGAACGTTCCGAGTTTACGTAATTAGAGTATTTTTTCATTAGCAGCCTTAGTTATCTGAACTAGTCAGTGAAATACGTTCGTAATAACTCGTACGTATGGAATAAAAGTGAAGTGCGAATGAAAAAAAAAAAAAACTTTTTTTCCCCACAAAAAATATTCACCAACCAGAAAATCATGGTATAAAGGCTAATTTCAAAAGTTATAACTTTTCAACTCACCCGTGCGAGCGCCACTGCTGGAAAACTGTCCCAGGCGAGTTGCGCTTCCTCCCCAGTGTTTCCATGACGTTGACCTGATAATATCCTGGCGGCTGTCAGGGTACTCATACCCATGCCGTCGCCTACGAAGAAGACGACACCCCTTGCGACAGCGGTTGGGGATGTGCTGGTGCCACTGGACGTGGCAGCAGCACGGACACGTGCTTCGATTGCCCTCGCGGCAGATTCATACCAAATTTCTTTCTCTGAAAAAAAAAAAAAAAAAAGAAAAATCATGTTCAATTCATATATGGCGTAAAATGCTGGGAATCTATTTTCTAGGTTGGAAAAATTTTTTCATTTTTTTAAGGGATGATACTTTTTTTATCATGTCAAAAACAGGGAGTGACATTCCGCGTGAGAATGTCACGCGGTGATTAATGGGATTATTAGGGGGTGGATTAAAAAATATAAAAAAGTTACCGTGTCACTGTTTTGCAATATTTTGCTTCTTTCAAGTTTGCAATTTCCTACTGAATTCTGTTTCCTGACTAAATCAACGGCGAAAGGATTCGTATACAGGGCAACGATGATTTCATAAGAGGATGTATCGGCGAATGGTAATTTTAGAAAATGATTTTTGGATACGCCATAGAAACTGGGTCGCATTTCCATGGCGCGAATATGTTCCGGATGGGAAACCTTTATGGCCGTGGACAATCGATGAAAACGTGAAGGGCAAAAAAAAATTGTTTCTCAATGACCGCACTCAAAGTCCTACGATTAAACGTAGCCCTGGTAAAAGGATGAAGAGTCGAAACGAAGCAGAACGAATTTAGGTTAATTTATTCCCACCCTTAACTACAGTACCACCCTCGAACACGGTATACCTAAATATTTATGAACGTGCCCGAAAAAATTAGGCAGATCTCCCCAGCAGCGAAGAATATTTATTCCGTCGTTTGCATCCAGACACAAAATTGCCAAAAGACATTTCGACCCTTGCGATACGTATGACAAAAATTCAAAACTTAAAACGTGCTAATAAAAAAAAATTAAGACACGACGAAAAATAAAAAATCAAAATTTCGATAATTAAAAAATACACCAATTCCTTGACTTTTCGTACATCAAGGGTCAGCACACGTGGCCGATCAAAAGTGGGTTGCTAGCTTCGCTTCGCCGTAGCCATAAATTTTCATCAACCCAAAATTTTCTCTCATAAATCCTAAAGCAAGAAAGAAGGTTTCACCGTGCGAACGTACCGCTACCACTTGTATTGTTACCAACGCGCCCAACTTCCCGTCCATTTTTATCATTAATTTCAAGGCTAATCGGTTCACCTACCCCATACAGCACCGAGGGACTGCGTAATCCAGCTAAAACTCAAAATGTCGTAATTTTAATCGTCAGTACGTAATTAACACAGGAACCCCTAATATCTTACTACTCACGTATGAAAAAAATCCAAGCGTTCCTCTTGCTATTCCTGCTGTTCCTTTTTCTTCGGACATCACGTACGCACTGACTGGCTCATCGTCCCCCCCTAGCTTGAAACCGCCCCCGCCCCCCCACTATTTTTACCTGCCATTCACGTTCTTCTATAGCGACTTCTTCTATAGTGTCTGTTCGCATCCCCCTCCCGTGTACCTAAACCTACAATGGTATATTGACCTGAAGTTTTTTTCTTCGCCTAAACTAACCGATTCCCTGTTTTTTCTGCTGATTCCGTAAATCGCCTATTCCACGCCCTATTGACAGGGAAGAAGCGGCACGTTAAATAAATGGTGTACCAAATCGACAGTTCGCATTGGTAACAGTTATACGTATATATACAGTAAAATATAAAAAAAGTACATACATATATAAACACCGTATATAAATCACGTGGCCGAAATAAATGGAAAAAAATGAATTAAATTCCTCGAGTTTGTCATTAGATTAAATCAGTCTCGAGTGTGCGCAGAGTTTTGAAGTTTATTTAAATTCCTCGAACTACCCACCCAGTGACGATGACGCCAATCTCGTAGAAAACGACGCTCGGCGTCGGTTAATAAAAACGGACTTTATAAGTCGTATCCCCTTAACGGACGTACCATATACGTTGAATCACAGCTGACTGGGAATTTTAAAGCAAAAACATTAAAAACGACACCAACAGGTAGAGATAAGGGTTATTTTGGAAAAAAAAAAAACAAAAAAAAAATTCTGGTAAATTACAAATTTTTTTTTTAATATATCGATAAGACATACACGCGGCATAACGAAAAGACAATCGTCAACCCCCGGGAACAAACGATTCAAGGAACTACCCCTGTTATCATCCCTTATAACTCCGGGCGATCGATTGACATCGATAAACTAGATTACAGCCTGTCACTCGGGTATAACGAATGAACTATTACCACGGGGAAATAGCTCATTACTAAGGGATTGGTAATGGCTCGTTTCCGTTCCTGCATACGCGGACCGGATATGACGTATCCCAATACGTTTTGGGATTTCCGGTATGCCGAATGACAAAACTGGCAAATTCCATTAACGAGAGTGTAACGTACGTTAGGGATGAAAATTTCGATATACAGTATCGGAGTAGCCCGCGGTGATAATAAAAAAAAAAAGAAAAAAAAAATCCGAAATTTCACACCCCATTGTATCCAAGAAACAATATAAAATATACAAAAGCTATTTGATTCGCCGTTCTCCCATATACCACCTATCATCGATACTTTCGCCTGGGTGTTATACTTTTTTTTTTTCCCCTAAACAAAACACCCCGAAAAATCTTTTACATAAATATACAGACAACGCGCATGTATTTTCTTTGAAAAGAACTATAGCCCCTAAGGGATACCTGTATAAGCTTTCATTCCTTATCTAGGATATTGGGGGCAGTACAAAGCCAAGAACCCAATTTATTCCGTCACATCGTACTATAGCATATATGCACGATATATGGTATATAAATCAGCTATCCTACATCCTATCTGCTATTCATGCACCCTCATCCCTTAAAACTCACATGGCGGGTTTGATTTTATCTTTATCAAGATTTCGCAAAAGGTTGACAAAAATTGAATTTCCCAAATAACCCTATATATATTACACGCATTATATATGTATATACCAACGAATCCACAAGTATCAGTGGATTACAGAAACGGGTTATCAGTGCCAAACCCCGTCAGTGTTTATTCGACCAAGTATCGACGAGGGGGTTGTATCAATCTCGGCGTCAAACGGCGGGCGCATAAATCAATCAGGTTACAATCGAATTTCATCATTGCACCGGCACGTCAAACGAACCGTTATAAAGTGCTCAAATGCATCGGGAAACGAGGATCGATTCGAAGGGTCGTAGCTGCGTGCGGAAGAATCCGGCCGTGTGAAGTTGGCATCTGAATGTTAAAAATTAGAAAAAAAAAAGCTCCAGTAGCATTCGGAAGAGTTCTAGAGTTTCCGATAATTTTCAGAAATAATTCCGGAAATATTTAGCAAAACTATTTTTAAAACTTATCGGCAACTATAGAATTCCTCCAGAGCTATTGAAAATATTAAATATTTTTTTTTTTCAAATAAAGATGCTACGGGACCATCCCGGAAGTATTAATCGAGGTTTTTTAGCTTCAACCGTCGGAACTATTTCGAAAAAGTATCAGGAACTAACTCTTCCGGATGCTGCTGGAACATAATTTTTTTTTTCAATTTTTTTAATATGTTGCCAACTTCACACCCTTGAGCCATCCGTCAGAATGCGGGCGCAAGTCTGTGCTGTGAAGTGGGCTACACTTGGACAGTTTGACAATGATATTTTGTCGATATGCAAAGTTCGATACGTATCGTGTGAACGGCGTTAGAGGAAGCAAATATCGTGTAAATATAAAAATCGGCGAAATACCGTCGTCGCGTCATGACGAATATACATGAAAATAACTGGTCGGTTGATTGCCGTCAAACAAGAGAGTGTTACAAATTCGAATTAATGAATTTTATATAATATCGTGTGTCGAGAGAGAATCGAGGAAAATTTTGAAAATAAGGTTTATGAAATTTGAAATCGATGATAAAAAAAATTGAGCATGATATTGATTAAATATGAACTATCATTAGGTTAAGGTGAATTTCCATGGATCTGATGTAAAAGTTATTTTTGTCGGTTTTTGGTAAAAAGGTTACGCATAATAATCGGGTACAGGTAAGTTGAGGAAAGAAAAGCAATGTCCCATGTAGAAATTTCGATTGTGTGCCGACTTTGACGAAAGGCATTGCATTGGCTATCAGGCTTTGCTGACAATTTGGGCCCAATACTTAACCGATAGCGGGTATAATACATTGCCGGTACGGACCCGATGGTGAATCTTAATACTGATTTAAGGCATTTTATCAGCGTTGGCCCGCTTACAAGTATCAGTTCCGGCACAGTATTAGTATTGTGTTATGTATTAACCATCGGCGCAATGTCACACCAACATTGGGCCGCTTGTGCGCAGTACGATGGCCCAACATCGGAATTGTTTGGCTATGGAGCATCGACCCAGTATTGAAGCAATGTTGAGCCGATGATACATTTTGATATAGGCCCAAGATTGCCATTTCGTTGATAGACAACGTTCATCCGATACAGAGACAGTATTGAGCCGTTTGTGTTCACTACTTGGCCCAGTATTGGCATTGATTGTCTACGTAGCGTCGACCCAATGTCGGGACAACAGAAATTATAATAAATCCCGAATCTGATATACTACCGGCATCTAACAGTGTGGACTGGGTAGTAGCACATCTCGGGAATGTAGAATTTTAGTTAGAACTCAGTTGTCACGGTGCATAGTGGTATCCATCCTTGTGCTAAAAAATCTCTGTACAGCAATAATATAGAAGCACATTTCTAAGCAATGCTCAACCAATGCTTGGCCGACGCTCTGAAATGATATTGGGCCAGTACTCGTAGTCGGTACTGCCCCATCGCCATTCTCCAACGGTTGGACCCATGTTATCATTCCAATGAATAGCCATTCCAATACCAACTCTGGTAGCCGACGGTGTCCCAGTCTTGGTAACACCGACTGACTCTGGCCCAGAGTGGACCCTGTCACAAATTTCTACATGGGGTATTGTCGATATGAATTATCATCGTTGAGGCGAATATCCATGGAATTGACGTAACCGTAATTCTCTGTCGTTCGATGGATACTTCACTTGGTCACACTAATTGAATCATCCGTGTAACAGAATCATCCCTTAGTAACACGCCATTCCGGAACCAATA